GTCACGCCCTGTCCGTAGAGACGCTGGGACGTTCAGTCGTCCGTGGTCGCCGGCGGTGCTTCCTGACTCGCTAGCCTGGCCGCACGCACCACTGGGCGGCCTCCCCAGCTCCCCGGCACTGTCCTTGTCCCAGCGCTCGTGCGGACAGAGGGGCCCAGAGGGGCCAGGGTTGGGGAAGGCCGCGCTGTGCTCTGCGAGGCGGGCCGGGTCTGGGGGTCTCCCATGCTGCCCACTGGGCCCCCATGTGGCCGGCTGGGTCCGTGTGGGGTGTTTCTTCCGGCCCCAGAGCGGTTCTGTCTCCAGCCGCCCGCTCAGCTGTGTGGGTACCGTAGACGTTTTCTCATGAGTGGCCCGGGATTGTTTTCTCCTGTGGGATGGGCTTTCTACCCCATGAATAAACATAGGCTTTTCTCCTTAATCAAACTGTAAAAGCAAGGTTGGATGCTCAAGAGGATGAAGGCTGGGGGGCCAGGGTGGGGGCAGCAGGCCTGTGTGCACAGTAGCAGGGAAGGGCCCTGTACCACCTCCCCCAGGGCAGGGAAGGGTTTGCCCACCAGCTGTCCATGTGGGGACAGAGGGGGGCACTTGGTGCAGAGTGCCGGGCATCAGTGGGCCACTGTGCGTCTGGGGGCAAGTGCGCGTGCATGTGGAGCCCGTGGACTGGCTGAGCTCATCCCTACACCTCCCCTGCCTGTCGGGGCCCCTCATCCACACCACAGACTGCAAGCCCCTTCGAGGTCAGAGGCTGGTCCCTGAGGGCCCGGTGTGGGGGTCTGCGCTCAGTATTCCCGATGGGCAGTGGATCAGGATGGCCCAGGGCTGCCTCTCAGCCATGTCCGAGTCAGGAGATCCTGGTGGGGGGCTGCCGTGGGTACGGAACGGATGGCAGGGAGGTGGGGGAGGCTGCTGGCCTGACCTGGGCCAAGGCATGAGAAAGAGGAGACCGATGCCAGCCTGAGTGTTTGGGCCACCCCACCCTGCGCCCCCTTCTTCCCACTGCCCATGCCCCACCACCTTCCCGGGCGCAGGGACACTCACGCCAAGCTGTTGTGGATTTGGTCTAATGGAGCTTAGCTGGCGGAGCAGATTGCCCTGGGGGGCGGCAGGCGGGGCTGGCCTGCTTGGGGCTTTCTCATCTTCCAGAGACAGAGCTTTGCAGCTCTCTCCATGTGATCTCACGATGGCCCCTCAGGGAGCCCAGCCTGGGGGGTCAGAGCCCAGTCCCCACGAAGCCTGCCTCGTGGCCACCCCGCTGCAGCCTTCCAGCCTCCGTGTCCCCCACCGGTCTGCGTCTCTCAGCAAGGGGTGTCCAGCTCGCCCAGCTGTGCCCCCATGGCAAAAACACGATGTCCCCTCCCTCCGTGTCCGCGGCCAGCCAGGGGAGCTGAAGTGGCCTTGCCAGGATGAGGGAGGGGACAGGGGACATGGAGTCTGCTGGATGCTTCCCTCAGCACCTGAAAGATAACCGCCATCACTCCCATCGTGCAGCTGGGGAAACTGAGGCTCAGGGTGAGGGGTGGGTAGTGGTACTGTCAGGGGTCAGGCTCGTCCCCTGGCTCCGAGCTGGGCAGGGGGAGAAATGGCTCACTCCACAGGTCTGGGGACCCTGAGCCAGCAGGGCTGGGTGGCCGTGGGGACCTGTGTGCAACGATGAGGATTTGGCTCAGAGGTCTAGGACCACCCTTCGGGTCACACTGTCTTGTGCCATACAGGCCTCTGTGGGGATCCTCATAGAGTGTCAGGGTCCCTTGTTGGCACAGCTGCTGGTGAGGGACCGGCAGCCCCCAAAACGTGGGCTGAGTGGCCATGAGCCCCTTCTGGCTTCCAGGCCCGGTCCCAGCAGCCTCACACTTCCCAACCAGTGGCATCTTCGTGCAGAGATGACCGTGCCTGCCGCGGTCACCCCCACTTCCAGGCTGTCGCCATCTACTGCCCACAGCCAGGGACAGGGGAGAGATGGTGCTCTCAGGCCAGCGCCATCTTCGAAGGCTCAGGCGGTGTGCTCTGCTTAACCAGCTGGGAGTCAGAATGAGAAAGGGTGGATCGATGGGTGGTGTCCAGTAAAGCTTGGGTCAACGTGAGCAGCACCCCCAGGCTGCTCAGCAGGCCCCATCCAGAGCCTCCTCCCCAGCCCTCTGTGGGTGTCTGGGGCAGGCCGTCTTCAGCACCATGGACAGCGGTCACCTGGCACTGCCCCTCGAATCCACCTCCTCACCCACTGGGCCTGGCCTTGGGGTGTCTGCGTGTGGGGTGCATTGGAGCTCTGGTCTGAGAGGCCATGAATCTGGCACCAAGAGCGACAAGACAGGACTGGGGCCCTCCACCCCGCTGGGGGAGGCCTGGCCATGGGCGCCGCTGCACGAGTGGGAAGGTGGTGCAGCGCTGGCTCGGCACCTGCTACCCCACTGGTCCCGGAAAGACCTGAAGGGGAGGGAGGTGGTGGGAAAGACTGGCATCAGGCCAGGCTGGGGGCAATATGCTGGAAGGGTGGGGCCCGCAGGGTGCACATGATACTTGAGAGGTCCCCCAACAGACAGGATCTTTGCTCCCAGTGCTGAGAGAGGCTCTGGGACCCCGTCTCTCATTTATGAGCATCCCCCCCACCAGCCTGGGTGGTGGTGCAGGCCCAGCCCAGGCCCTGGGAGGTTCCTGGAGCTGGATGGGCTGGGGCCAGGGTAGTCAAAAGGACGTGGGTCAGGGGGCTTGTGGCCGGACAGAGCCTCCCGGGGCTCTGGGGTCCTGTGGCAGAGACCACATCACTCAGCGTTGGACTCGGGCCCTGGGCAGCGCCACAGCCCCCTCCCTGTGCCGGTATGGCCACCGCCTCCAGACTGCACATTACCTTGGCTTCCTTGAACCCATGGTGGAAATTGACTCTAATTTGTAGAAGTTGGTTCAAAACCTAAAGGATTTTTAATTAAAACCCAGAAAATCCATCTGTGTAATTAAGTTACTGGGCTGTGGATGAGGAGCCGGCTGGCCCTGCCTGTCCTCAGCTGCCCACTAAGGTGTGACTGGGGAGGGGGCTGGCCTTGCGCGTGCAGGGGGCCGCTCCAGCCCTGTGACCCCTGGGCCGGCTGCCCCTGTCTCTGGGGAGCCTCCTGGCCATCTGCAGGGCCAGTGGAGCCCCTACCCAGGACAGGAGGTGCAGGGCAGTTCTTGGGGTGTCTCGGGAGAACCGCACATACATGTGACACCTTTACACAGACCAAGGCAAGATCTTGGGGCTCGGGTGCAGGACCCTAGGGTCTTTTCACTCCCAGGTGTGTGTGTGGGGTGGTGGAGCGAGAGAGGCAGAGGCTGTATCATTAGGATGGTAACCCGAAAGGGGCGAGGGTCCTTGGGGATGGATGGAGAACTTTCTAGGTGCCTGGTTTGGTTGTCCCAGCCACCCCAGTAGTGTCCCCACTTCTTGGATGAACCTGCTGGGCACTCAGCCTTCTGCCCCTTGGGGTCCTGAGCCTGCCAGGCATGCCTCACGGGTGGGGCAGGCAGGCCAGGGCCCATAGGACCAGCAGAGTCAGGAGGAAGCCACGGTTGGTGGGTGGGCTTCGCTTGTCAGCAGTTTGGGAAGATGTAGAGGTAGGACCCCAGCTCAGGGACTCTAAGCAGGGCTGTCTTTTCCAGTTGCTTGGGGCCTAGTTTATGGCTTGTCCTCGGAGTGAGGGCCCCTCCTAGCCCCTCCTAGCCCCTGACCTGAATAGTCTCGTGGATCCTGGCCTGAATCCAGATTCACTGGCCTCACAGCCCAGGATCACTGTTGAGGACAGAGGTCCTCAGCTTTGACACCAGCTCTGGGGTCCGGGGCAGGTCCCCTGCAAGAATCCCCAGACCAGAAGATGCCTTTACCTGCCCTTTTCATCCCCACCTGGCCCTCTGCTCCAGGGCCACACCACGGTGTGGCTAGATGTCTTGAAGTACTGTGTGTGTGTTGGGGGTGGGGGTAGCAGTGTTGGCTAGGGGCTTGAGCGTAGCTGGTAGGCTTCTTCCGGGCTAGGTACAGGGAGGGCATGAATATCCATCACCTGATGGTGGAGGGCACCTGGTAGTTGAGGTCACTCTCCCTGGTCTGGGCGATGTGAATGAGCTTGGGCACAGGCGGGGGAGAAATCGGGCCATGGGCTGGAGAGACAAGAGTTCCAGGTGTGGGTGAATGGTACTGGTGGACAGGAGAAGCTGGGGGGCCAGGGCTCGACTGGGCTGAAAACCCTACTGCTGGGGCAGGATGTCTGCAGGAGTGGGAGGGGGGAGCACTCAGGGTACAGGGAGAGCTCAGCATGTTGGGACAGGTTCAAAAGGGGCAGACAGCTCCCACACCCTCACTGGGTGGGTGCACACCCTGGGGGCCCAGGCTGGTGTGCGCTGCCTCCCAGGGCGGGGGGTCGGGGGGGGAGCGTGCACCTGCGTCTACCTCTGGGTCAGGGTTGGAATGCACTCCCTCACACCGTCCGACCGTCGCCTGTCCTCCTGTCGCCCACCCGGGGCCTCCTGCTCTCCTTCCGGGCCTTGTAGGGATGTGGGGGGAATGGGGGGTTCGTCTCCTTGCAGGCGGGTCTGCTGACCCATTCTGTTTAACTGGGAGCATCCCACCTGCTGTGACACGCACAGATGTCCCTCCTCAGAGGTGTGACTGCAGCAGTTAAGGGACAAAGGGTCAGGAGGCCAGGAAAGCGGTGCAGCCTGAGCCCCCCATGACACAGCCTGGGACCGGGTCTGTGCAGGGGGTCCCCAAGACGCCCTGATGGAGCCTTGCTGGTGCACATAGGTGCAGTTGTCAGTCACGGCACTGTGGCCCCCCACCCCCACCCCACGGGGATGACCTGGTCCCGGCCCAGCACCTGAGCAAGCATGTGTGCCAGGCCCCCCCAGGTGGGGCTGGGGGCCGGGTGCTGCTTTAGTAGGAAGCTGGCTTCTGTTCCCTGCAGCCAGACCTGGCCCAGGCCCTTGTTACCGCCGAGCCCATTAACCGTAATTACGGCGCTCTGGGCAGGCACGTAATGATGGTGCTGGCCTGGTGCCACGCTGTACTGTGCGCCGTTGGCCCTGCACCCCCCCCTGCCCTGGGGGGGTGCTGCTTGCAGACCCTGACGTGGGGATGGCGTGTGGGGTGCACAGAATGCCTCCAAGCCCTCCCGGCCACCAGGGGTATCCGTCTGCATCCACAGGGTCTGCATGGAGCCTAGCTCCCCCACGCAGCCCGGCCCTTCTTCATGCCTGACCCAGCCAGCCCAGCAGAGGGCTTCCCCAGTCCCTAGCGAACTAACTGGGGTGGGGGCGCGGAGTGCACCCCTTCCCAGAGACCGCCGCCCTGGGCCAGGCCACCATTCAGCCTGCGGCGAGCTCCAGCGCCACCTGGTGGCTGCTCCCAGCATGTCCGGGAGGTCACACCTGGGCTGTGGTCCCCACACCGGGGAGCCTGCAGGGTGGCCGGGGTGCGGAGTGTGTGAGGATGCGGCACACCCTGCTGAGCCGGCTCCCGAGGCTCCCACCCTGCCTGGATGCCCACTCGCTAGCTGGAGACTCCTGGATGGGGCCGGTCACTTGGGCAACTTCTGCTCCGGGACCGGGGGGTCGGGGTGGGGCAGGGCGGCGAGGAGGTGTCCTGCTGGGTCCCCGTTGGTCCAGGTGCTCAGGAGGGCTGCAGGTCCCCCACGCCCAGCTGCCGAGCTGATGGAAAGCTCTCGTTCCTCATTCCAGTAGCTGTGGTCGGGGTACCCTCGGCCTGCTGGAGTCACGTGGGGGTTAGCGCGGGCACACCCCCACGGTGTGTGTGCATCCACAGCACGTGTTGGGGCCCAGGCCGGACAAAGCCTGTGAGATGGCTCCCCGAGTGTCCAGCCTGAGCTGGGGCACCGGTGTTGTGGGGAGCCTGTCCTCCGGCCCCTGCCCAGGGGCCCACGTGGGGGTGTGCTGGTGCTGCACACAGTGGCCAGGGTCGCGGCTCTGCCTCTCAAGGCCCAGCTGACGGGGTGCTGGGGGTGGGTCCCAGGGCCCCGCTCCCCGTGCTGCTCCCCTGTGGCCGTGTCGCAGCCTCCGGCATTGATCCTTAATTCGGCCGCCTGCCCCACGTGGTTCGAGCACGTCAGCATGCTGGTCATCATGCTCAACTGCGTGACCCTGGGCATGTTCCGGCCCTGTGAGGACGTCGAGTGCCAGTCAGAGCGCTGCAGCATCCTGGAGGTGGGCCCGGGGGCATCCGGGGGGCGGGGGGCACAGCCCACTGGCCATGGCCAGCCTCGGGGTGACCAGCTGGCAGGACTGGGTCTCAGGCCCCGCCTCCCTCCAGGCCTTCGACGACTTCATCTTTGCCTTCTTCGCGGTGGAGATGATCATCAAGATGATTGCCCTGGGCCTCTTTGGGCAGAAGTGCTACCTGGGGGACACGTGGAACAGGCTGGATTTTTTCATCGTCATGGCGGGGTATGAACCCCTGGCCACCAGAGCCAGCTGGTGCAGGAGACCCAGTGGCATCGGTGCCTGACCAAGCCTGGCTGGGAGCCCTGCCCCCCTCGGGCCCCGCTGGCTGCCCCGGGGTCTGGCTGCCCCGGGATCCCACCAGGAAGAAGGATGGGGGTGCACTCTGCAGGGGTCCAGTGGGGCCGATGTTGGGAGGCGGCTGGGGGTTGGGGGGCCAGTGCGGCCTCTGCCAGGGAAGAGGACACTACCCCACAGCAGTAGGGGTGGCAGGACGGACACAGATGGTCTGTGAGTGGTGAGGGGCCCCAGGGAGGCTCGGTGCACGGCTCCGGGACCAGGCCTCCCGGCCTCGGCTGGCAAGGTGCCCTGGAGAAAGGTGGTGCTCACCCCTGCCCCCGGGGCCCTGCCCACCCCCTGAGCTTCCCTGTCCCTCTGCCGCTCCCCCAGCATGATGGAATACTCACTGGACGGACACAACGTGAGCCTCTCGGCCATCCGGACAGTGCGCGTGCTGCGGCCCCTGCGCGCCATCAACCGTGTGCCCAGTGAGTGACCCCTCCCCTGGGACAGGGCTGTGTGTCCTGCCGGCCCTTACTGAGAGCTCTCCAGGGTTCCCTGGGGTACAGGAAGTCTACATTGTCTGCTCCTGGACTCCCCAGCCCTGGGGAAGGGGAGGCAAGTCTGCTGCTCACCATGGATCCCTGAGGATTGGCCACTTCTTGTCTGGAGAGGACACGACAAACCTGGACCAGGTTGGGGTGTGACAGGCAGGCTGCGTGGGGTCTGGGCTCCCCACCGTGCTGCTGGGCGAACCTCAGACTCCCCATCTGCACATTTGGGGTAACACCGGGTGCTGCACGGGCCCTGGTAGTTTCATTGTCTGGCACATGCGGGGCGAACCTCAGGCCCTAACTCTGCCAGAGGGATCTGGTGCTTCCGGGAAGCCTAGAGAAGCTTCCGGAAAGTCAAGTGGCTGCTTGTTTGGAAAGCGGCCTGTTCTCACACAAGGGGATGGTTTGGGATTTTTTCCATCTTACAAGTATTCACTGCTGTTACTTCTCCCAGGCAGGAGGGCAGTGTCCGTGGTACACCGTGTAAGGGGTGCATACACATGTGTGCACGGGTCTGCACATACCACGTGTCAATACCATGTATACAGCCTTTCCAGCCGTTGGGCCCGAGTCCTGGTGTCCTCAGCACCCAGGCCTGGGCAGTCAGGGCAGGTCCCACAGCTTCCCCTGAGAAGTTGCACACCCTTAGGGACAGGTACGTCCTTCCCCCGGCCTGTCCGCTCCACCAAAGGGCTGGGGTCATGGAGGTGTGCTGTGCTGTGGGACCCCTGGGCCTTTTTTCCACCTGCCCACCTGGCTCTATGCTCAGCGGTCAGACGGCGCTCAGATGTCTTGTGAGTCCGGGGAAGTTAGCCTCTCTGAGCTTCTGTTTTCCCACTGTAACAGCCAGATGTTAGTGGTACCCAGAGAGGCTGTGTGAGGTGAGGTGATGTGTGCGGCTCCCAGCTGTGCCTGGTGCCCACCACACAGACGGTCTGCCCACCTGGGCCCACCTGTGAGCGCAGTAAAGTGGCAACGAGACCCATCCCTGCAGATGTGTCCTTTTCAGCCTGTCTGCATCCAGCATTGCACACCAGCAGCCTGGCCTCCTCTGGGGACACCCCCCTGTCCCAAATAGGGAGCCTGCCCTGGACAGGATCGGATGCTCCTTATAATGAGCCCCAAAAGGTCACACTCATCGTTGCATCTCCCTGGGTGCCTGGGGTTCTCTCTGACCCCTGGATCGTATCTGTGACCCTTTGAGCCAGTTGATGTCTGGCCAGGGCACGTGCCTCCTGATCCCGTGCATCCCTCGTGAATCTTCCTCTCAGCCGTTTCTGACATTTCAGTGCCACTCCTGGCTGTGGCTCGCCCCCCGTGACCCCAGGGGCCTGTTTTGCCATGTGCCGCGCAGCCCCCCTCCCTGGGGCGCTGCTCCCCGAAGCCTTGCACCTGCCCCCTCCCCACCCCCTGGCCCAGGGTGCAGTGTGCTGCTTTGGCCCTGCCCTTGCTCATCTGGGGAAAGGAGTCATCCTTGCTGAGGTCTGGGAGGGGATAGGCCCAGGTAAGTGGGGGGCACATAGGGCTTGGCTGGCCCACTCCCAGATTAATTTGCATTCATCCAGCGCCCAGGCACAAGGGCTTCAAAACTGCCTCTCAAAAAACCGCCACCTGCCCTGGGGGTCCCTCCCTCCAGTGCAGGGCTCTCCTCCAGTGCAATTTGCACAGGGCATGGGAAGAAATTCTCCTTGTAAGACCCCAGGCTCCTGAGTGTTGGAGGCAGCCCAAAGCCTGAGCTCCTGGGGGACCCTGAGGCTGGGGCTGTTGGACTCCCTCAGGGCCTGCGGAATGTGTGGGGACTCAGTACAAGTCCCCCCCGGAGTTGCTAATACCCATTTGTGAACAGCGGGAGGGCTCAGGGCCCACTAGAGGGGCGGGGGACTAGAAGGAGCCCGGGAGGGCTCTGCTGTGCTGACTTCTTTCCCTGCCCCTGCAGGCATGCGGATCTTGGTCACGCTGCTGCTGGACACTCTGCCCATGCTCGGGAATGTCCTTCTGCTTTGCTTCTTCGTCTTCTTCATTTTCGGTATCGTCGGCGTACAGCTGTGGGCCGGCCTGCTTCGGAACCGCTGCTTCCTGGACAGCACCTTTGCCAGGTGCAGGGGCTTAAGGGCTCTTCTGGCTTGTGTGCCACCAGCAGGCTCCTCCCCTCCAGCCCCACCCCCTGATGCTCTCCCCTCCAGCCCAGCCCCAGGTGCTCTACCCCCAGCAGGCTCCTCCTCTTCCAGCCCCACCCCCAGCAGGCTCCTCCCCTCCAAGTCCACCCCAGATGCCCTGCCCCCAGTAGGCTCTTCCAGCCCCAGGTGCTCCGCCCGCAGCAGGCTCCTCCTCTTCCAGCTCCACCCCAGCAGGCTCCGCCCCCAGCAGGCTCCTCCCCTCCAGCTCCGCCCTCAGCAGGCTCTGCCCCCAGCAGGCTCCTCCTTTCCAGCTCCGCTCTCAGCAGGCTCTGCCCCCAGCAGGCTCTTGCCTTTCAGCTCCACTTCTAGGGACACGCCCTTTTCAAGAGTGTTTTTAACTGGGGTTCTGTCTTTTGGATCTATTCCTGTTTTTTATGTTTGTTTTTATGTGTGCTTTTGTCTCTTTTTCTGCTAATTTGTCCATTTCATCGTTTCTGTCCACTTATGTCTTGTTTTTATCTCTTCCAACTCTGTATCTCACACTGTTCCTCTTTGTTTTTCTGTGTCTGCGTCTCTCTTTGTATCTCTGCTTCTCTCTCTCGTCTGTGCATCCCTCTCCGGGTGTGTGCCTCCCGCCTGCCTGCAGAAACAACAACCTCAGCTTCCTGCGGCCGTACTACCAGACGGAGGAGGGCGAGGAGAACCCCTTCATCTGCTCCTCGCGCCGAGACAACGGCATGCAGAAGTGCTCGCACATCCCCAGCCGCCGGGAGCTGCGCGTGGAGTGCACGCTGGGCTGGGAGGCTTACGGGCAGCCACAGGCCGAGGGTGCAGCAGGCACCGCCCACAACGCTTGCATCAACTGGAACCAGTATTACAACGTGTGCCGCTCAGGCGGTTCCAACCCCCACAACGGCGCCATCAACTTTGACAACATCGGCTATGCCTGGATTGCCATCTTCCAGGTGGGTCCCTGCTCTCGGCTGAGGGCCTGGGCCTCAGTTTCCCCATCAGCGGGGGTGGGAGGGCACTGCGTGTGCGGGGCCACGGGGGGACGCAGGCGAGGAGGCCCCTGCCACCCTCCCAGGGCCGTCCGTGTGTGCAGCCGCCTGCCCCCCCAGGTGATCACGCTGGAGGGCTGGGTGGACATAATGTACTACGTCATGGATGCCCATTCCTTCTACAACTTCATCTACTTCATTTTGCTCATCATTGTGAGTGTGGGCGACGGGGCGAGTCCCGGGGGCTGGGTGGGGTGTTCACGGCCACCAGTGTCTGTGGGTGGAGGAGCCCTGACAGCGGGACAGCCGGCCGCAGACCCCAGAAGTCCCCTGTCGGTGGGCGTTGTCATGTCCCCGACGCCATGCCCTCCCAGCCTCCGCTGACTCTCAGGGTTGCTGCACTGGCTGAGCTGCAGGGCAGGGCAGCAGAGAGCCAGGGCTGCCCACGGGGTGGCAAGGGACTTCTGCCAGGCCCCCAGCAGGAGGTAGTTGGGGGGTGAAGCCCACCTCCAGGAGGCCTCAGGCAGCACCCCAGGCCCTCTCACGGCTGGGTCCTGTTTGGAGGCTACAGAAGACGCAGGACCATGTCTTGGGGTCCCAGCCTTCCCCCCTGTTTATGGGCCTGCAGACACAGCACTGCACAGAACAGGTCACCCCAAAGGCATGGGTCTCTCTAGTGTGGGTTTCCCTGCCAGGCACGGCCCTCCACGGTGTACATGGGCCTCCAGACACGGAGCTGTCACAGGCAGGGTCTGCGAGGACCCCGCTGTGAACAGAGACAGGCGTCCTGCCTCCTTGTTTCTGACCACGAGCAGAGAGTGTTGGAGGGTGATCCTGCATGGAGGAGGGGAAGTTAAGGGGTTTGGAAAGGTCTGCCCTGGGGGGAGGGGGCAAACCGTACAGATGATGGGAAGGAGCGTCTCCCCGCCACCCCCGCCCTGCGTGTCCCCCACTGTCCACATGTGGGTTGTCTAGATGGGCAAGCGGCACTTACTCCAAGCCGCCTATGGCAGGTGCTGACATTTGGCTTCGCATCAGCAGGGACCCCACCATCCTAGGGTGTCTGCCCTGGCCCTGAGAACAGGCAGCACATAGTAGGGCTCAGTGTTCCCTCGAGGATTCTGTCACTGCCGTGTTAGAAGCAGCCCCCGCCCCCACTGCCCGCCCCTCCCGCCCCTGACACCCCGCGACCCTCTTCCTTAGCTCCCTGGGTTAGCAGCCCAGCGAGTGAGTCGCGGCTGGGTCACGGGAGGCTCACCACTGCCCGCCTGCTGCAGGTGGGCTCCTTCTTCATGATCAACCTGTGCCTGGTGGTGATTGCCACACAGTTCTCGGAGACCAAGCAGCGGGAGAACCAGCTCATGCGGGAGCAGCGCGCGCGGTACCTGTCTGATGACAGTACACTGGCCAGCTTCTCGGAGCCGGGCAGCTGCTACGAGGAGCTGCTCAAGTACGTGGGCCACATCTGCCGCAAGGTCAAGAGACGCACGCTGCGCCTCTACGCTCGCTGGCAGAGCCGCTGGTGCAAGAAGGTGGACCCTAGCAGCGCCCCGCATGGCCAGGGCCCCGGGCGCCGGCCGAGGCGGGCGGGGAGGCACACGGCCTCCGTGCACCACCTGGTCTACCACCACCACCACCACCACCACCACCACTACCACTTCAGCCATGGCAGCCCACGCCGGCCCGGCCCCGGGGACACCAGGCTAGTGCCGGCCGGGGCCTTGCCCTCACCGCCCTCGCCGGGCCGTGGGCCCCCTGACGCCGAGTCGGTGCACAGTGTGTACCACGCGGACTGCCACGTGGAGGGGCCACAAGAGAGGGCCCGGGTGGCACACGCCACAGGCACGGCAGCCGCCAGCCTCAAGGTGGCCACGGGGCTGGGTGCCATGAACTACCCCACCATCCTGCCCTCGTCCATAGGGGGCAGCAAAGGTGGTACCGGCCCCGGGCCCAAGGGGAAGCGGGTCAGCGGGCCTCCAGGTGCCGGAGAGCACAGCCCCCTGAGCCTGAGGGGCGCCGACCCCTATGAGAAGATCCAGCATTTGGTCGGGGAACATGGTAAGGACCCACCCCCCACTTGTGCAGAGGAGGTGGGACCTGGGCTGGGTGAGCCGTGAGGAAACGGGACTTCTGGGATGTCTTTGCCGCTCGCGTGCTCTCCAGGAAGGCCCTGAGTACCTCGATGAGCCTAGCTTTTTCCTTTTTCCTTTTGAGCTCCGTAAGAAGGGAGCTGGGGGGGCCCGGGTGTCTTGGACTCTGACACCCCCGGCCCGGAGAGAGGGCACCGGGTCTCCTTCCACCCTACAGTCAGCCCCAAGCAGCCCCAATGTGAGCAAGACACAGCTTTTGCCAACGAGGGTAGGAGAATTCCAAGACTGACTCACCCCATCAGAGCTCCAGGCTTATGTCCCGTTGGCCCACCTGGCCCCGGGAGAGACCACACGCCCATGTCTGTGGCTGGCCCCCTTTCTGGGTGGGGATGCTGGGGCACAGGGAGCAGAAGGTAAAACTGGGGTCACAGAGCTCCCAAGGGTCTGGGAAGGGGCCAGGGTGGGCCCCAATATACTCATGGTCCCCCCCAGCTGGGACTCAGCTGCACCCCCCTTGGACGGGCAGTTGGAGGGACGCTGGGTCCCATCAGCCCTTGAGGCCTTCCCAGATGGTGTGTGCAGGAGCGCGGGCCACAGTGCATCTGGGAGCAGGCAGGGATGTGTGTGGCCGGCCCGCCATGGCACGTGCGCTTCCAGTCCGGCCTGGTCCGTAGGGCTCAGGAGCTGTGGTGCATTGAGGCCACGGCATGCCGTTGGCGTGAGACACACCTCCGGCTCCGGAGACTCCGCACAAGAAAACCGTATATGGTGGCTCCTGGGTAGTTTTTGCGTCTCTCTCGTATCAGAGCCACGATGGTTCAGACATGTTGGGTCAGGTAGAACGTTGAAGTTAATTACACTTGTCGAATGTGGGTACGAGAAAAGGGCTCGCGTTCTGTTTCTATGGATGGCACGGATGGCGCGTCTGCAGGGAGATTAAGCGTCTCTGCCGAGGGTGCGCACGCGTGTACCGCTTACCCCACGGAAGCTTTGCTGGGCTATGGCCTGACCCTTCCTGTGCCCTTCTCCCTGCAGGACTGGGCCGGACCCCCAGCCGCCTGTCGGGCCTGAGTGTGCCCTGCCCCCTGCCCAGCCCCCAGGCGGGCACGCTGACCTGCGAGCTGAAGAACTGTCCGTATTGCACCAGCGCCCTGGATGACCCTGACTTCGAGCTCAGTGACTCTGAGAGCGGAGGCTCGGAAGGCAACATGGTGTATGAGTTCACACAGGATGTGCGGCACGGTGACCACCGCGACCCCATGCAGTTCCCCCCGGCAGCAGATGCACCAAGCCAGGGCAGTGCACGGCCGCGGGCGCAGCGGCGGGCGGCCCCGGGCGAGCAGGGCGGGCTTGGCCACGTCTGGGCCACCTTTAGTGGCAAGCTGTGCCGAATCGTGGACAGCAAGTACTTCAACCGCGGCATCATGGTGGCCATCCTCACCAACACACTGAGCATGGGCGTTGAGTACCACGAGCAGGTGAGGGTGGGGGCGGGTCAGGATGGTCCTCGTGACCCTGGGGAGCACGTCCTCCTGTGGGACCCCGTGGATGGGCTCATGGAGGTCGGGGGCCAGGGATGGGTTGGAGCTGGGTGTGGTCTGTCACAGGAGGTTTTTGTCTGTCACTCGACAGATACGGCTCCTTCGTGGGTTGGGTCTCTGTCAAGTAGTGAACACAGACACACACGGCGTGGTTCCCGTGTGGAGGTTCTAGCCCCACCTGGGGTCCGAGGAGGCCACACAGACCTAGAGGCACCGGGGGCTAAGGACATGCACCCAGTGGTGCTTCTGAGGATGGGACGCCCCCAGCTTAGCTCTCATAGAGGGGCTCCCCTTACAAGAGCCAGGGCCACTGGCCATGCCCACTGTGGTGCTCCTTGGCGGTCACAAAAGGCCGGAGTGTGGAGTGGCCCCTAGGAGGAGGCGGGGGGGTCATGTGTGGCCCCCCCGCAGCTGTGGAAGCTGTCAACCGTGCATGCTGGCCCTCCTCGACCCCTGCCCTGGACCGGGGCCCAGCAGGGAGGGCAGCGGCCAGATTCGGCAGAGAGAGGGGGTCCTTTCTGGGGACCAGGCTGGGTCACCTTGGTGACCAAATGGGAGTTCCTTGTGTCCCACTCTTGGATTTTTCTGGCCATTTAAACGATTTTTTTCACTCAGGAACAATCTGGGGAAAACGCAAGCAGTGGTAAACTTCAGCAGGCTGTGTGTGGGGAGGCTCTTTCTGGGTAGGGGGGAGCCGAGGCAGGGACATCGGGAGGCTTTAGGGGAGTCCCTGGTAAGGAAGAGCCTCTGCATGTATGCACACATTTGTGTGTATTCTGTCGTGTACGTGTGCGTACGTGCAAAGCTTACCGGTGCAGGTGCGCGTGTGTGCACACAGCAGGTCACGTGTTGGTAAATGCTCAGGCGTGCACACATGCGTGGGAATATTTACACTAGCACGGTGTGTACACGCACACACATGCGCGGACACACAGGTGAGGCAGCATGCCTCAGTAAGAAAGGCTCCTGGAGTGTGTACCACCAGGAAGGGGCGTGTGAGGCCAGCAGGGACCAGGGCAGCAGATCAGAGGCGGCACCCGTGCCGTCTGTACCCTGGGCTCCCCCACGCCCACCCTGGAACCCGGGAGCAAGTGCTCCTGGCCCAGTTCCCATGGCTCGCACTTGCTCCGGTGCTCAGCCGCGCCGCTGGGCAAGTCCAGCAGGGCCCAGGCAGCCGGGACAGCCGGGGTGGGCGCGCCGGGCGGGCAGCAGTCCAGGCAGCATCCGGTTAGGTTGCTTCTGAGCGGCCGCCTTCGTGGAGCCTTACCTGCTCCTGGATTCCTGGGAGCAGTGAGCCTCGTTCACGGCGGGGTGGGAGCCGTGGGGGGGCACTGACGGCCTCCCTGCCACCCACAGCCCGATGAGCTGACCAGTGCCCTGGAGATCAGCAACATCGTGTTCACCAGCATGTTCGCCCTGGAGATGCTGCTGAAGCTGCTGGCATGCGGCCCGCTGGGCTATATCCGGAACCCCTACAACATCTTTGACGGCATCATCGTGGTCATCAGGTGGTCCCTTATCTCCCACCTGGGCCGCAGGGGCCCGGGAAGCTCCAGGGTCAGGCAAATACCTCCTGAGGGAGCTGAGCCCCAGTCAGAGACAGGCTATCACCGGCAGAGTCCCCTCCCTGGGGCCAAGTTCCTCCCCACTGCCACTTACATATAGTCCGTTGCATCTCAGATTGTTTCTAGAACATAGGGGAGCTGTTCCCTGCAGGAACAGAGTAGGCGCTCAGCCACCCAGCTGGAGGTCACGTAGGTCTCAGCCCCTGCAAGGCAGGCGAGCTCGCCTGTGGGGCGTCTGCTGCGGCCAAGTCAACACAAAGGAGTGGGAGAATCTGGGGTAATCCCCCAGGAGGAAGCAGGGCCCTCGGAGTGCAGGGGATCCCCCAGCAGGGAGGAGGCTAGGCACAGCTAGCCGTGAAAGGCACAGGATGGGGAAGGCCAGAGCCCGAGTTCCGGCAGCTTCGGGGGGTCGGCAGCCACCAGGGACGACAGTTAACTAGCGGGCTTCAGTGACACCGCCACGGCTCCTCAGTCTCCTGGGTGCCTGGACACAGCTGTGCCTCTTCTCGGCCAGGGGGTCAAGGCGGGTCGCCATGGCTCCGGCCGGCATCCCTGCTTTGGGAAGGGGACATGCAGGGACCTGTGGCCAGAGGACAGGACCCTGCTGACCCCCGCCCCGGCCCACAGCGTCTGGGAGATCATCGGGCAGGCGGACGGTGGCCTGTCGGTGTTGCGGACCTTCCGGCTGCTGCGTGTGCTGAAGCTGGTGCGTTTCATGCCCGCCCTGCGGCGTCAGCTGGTGGTGCTCATGAAGACCATGGATAACGTGGCCACCTTCTGCATGCTGCTCATGCTCTTCATATTCATCTTCAGGTGGGCTGCCCCACCGATAGGGGCAGACCCCTCCCCGCTGCGCCGCCCCATGCTCCTGGGGCTGGGGGGCAGGAGCCTCCAAGTATCGTCACAGATGGATGGCTCCGTGGAGTCACTCGCTAGCACCCTTCATGTGCTCACAGCTGAATGGGGGGATGGGACAGGCCCCCAGATGAATGGGTCGGGGACTGTGCCCCAAAGAGAGCAGAGAAGGGGTGGGGGCAGCCAGGCCCAAGTCCATAGCTCTCAGCTGGTATGTGCTGAGCGCCCGCTGTTGGCCAGCCTGGCCTGGGGTCGAGCCCCAATGATGGGCTGGGGCAGAGGACGGCTCAGGAGGCTGAGTGAGACCGGCACCCCGGGTCCCTCCCACCCCAGCCTCAGTCTCCCCACCAACCATTTGGAAGCAGCTGGGCCCTGGGCACCAGGAGGGAGGCCCTGTAAACTGGAAGGCTGGGGCCAGGCCAGTGGGGAAGGCATGGCAGAGCAGTCCCTGGGTGTGGAGGTGACCACGCGGAACTTCACCTGCTGTCCGCCTCCCTGCACCCGTCCCCAAAATCACACACCCCTGCTCTGCCTTCAGCATCCTGGGCATGCATCTCTTTGGCTGCAAGTTCAGCCTGACGACAGACACCGGAGACACGGTCCCCGACAGGAAGAACTTTGACTCCCTGCTGTGGGCCATTGTCACCGTGTTCCAGGTAAAGCCTGGGCGGGCACCACCAGTGGGAATGGGGGTCCCCAGGAGAACCACTGTCCTGTTCCAAGCAGCCCCCGAGTGTGTGCCTTGGCCTTTCTGAGGCCGGCATGGGGGGATGCCCTGCAGAACCCCTGCCACCCCTGGGCTTGCCGGCGCCCCTTCTCCCCTGGTCTGGGGCTTTCCCTGCTTCTCGGTCCCTCCCCCCAGATCCTCACCCAGGAGGACTGGAACGTCGTCCTCTACAATGGCATGGCTTCCACCTCCTCCTGGGCCGCTCTCTACTTCGTGGCGCTGATGACCTTCGGCAACTACGTGCTCTTCAACCTGCTGGTGGCCATCCTGGTGGAGGGCTTCCAGGCAGAGGTGAGGGGTGGGAGTCCCGCCCAGACTGCCACAGGGAGGGTGGGTTCCTCCATCCTGCAGCCACCACACCTGGCCCTGGCAGTCACTTCGGGGCCCAGCCCTCCCGGCCACACCTGCCTCCAGGCTGGCCCAGCCCTCCCCAGGGAGTCCGCCCGTGGGTGCTGGGTACGGATGGCTCCCACCTGAGGGAGCTGTGCCTCCCGCTCTGCGGGGCGCAGGGGGACGCCAACAGGTCCGACACGGATGAAGACAAGACATCCACCCACTTGGAGGAGGATTTTGACAAGTTCCGGGATCTCCGGGCCACGGGTGAGCGTGGTGGTGCTGGGACTCCCGTGGGCAGGCTCTGGGCCGGCGGAGTCCCTTCCTGGAAGCCGCGCAGGTACCAGCCTCCCTCTTCTCTCTCCAGAGATGAAGATGTACTCTCTGGCTGTGACCCCCAACGGGCACCTGGAGGGCCGCGGCAGCCTGCCCCCTCCCCTCATCATGCGCACAGCGGCCACGCCCATGCCCACCCCCAAGAGCTCCCCACACCTGGACCCGGCCCCCAGCCTCCTGGACTCGCGGCGTGGCAGCAGCAGCTCTGTGGACCCACAGCTGGGCGACCAGAAGTCGCTGGTAGGGACCCTTCCCTGCCCTGGCCTCAGCGCACCCCACTCGCCCGGTCCTCGTGGCCTCTCCCACAGATGAGTGTGGGTCCCACACACCCCCGGTCACACCGCACAAATCCCTGTCCCCGAGGGGAGGAGGCCGGCGCTCTGTTTTTCTATAAATGGCGGTGGGAGCCGCCGCTCTTGCAGAAGGAGCGTAAGCAGAGCAGATGTGGGAACGTGTGGCACCCCTTTCCAGCAGAATACCAGGCGGGGAGTTTCTTTTCTAAATGGGAATAAAAGATAAAAGCCGGCAGAGCACAGAGCGTGCATCAAAGGAGCAATGAAAGGGACGGTGGAAAGGCGGCCCGTGATGGAAGCCAGGCGGGCGTCCCACAGAGCCGGCACCATGGGGCTTTTCACGAGGACCCAGGAGATTCTGCCCAGCACCCGGCCCACCGCGGCTTCTAAGGCGGGGAGGGGGGGCCGGGGGGGGTGGGGGGGAGAAGCTCACCGCCCAGGGGGAGCTGGGGGTGGGGGGTGTGGACATGGAGACAGGATGTTGTGTGTCTGTAACGGAGAAGCTGCCAGGCTGAGCAGCATAGATGCATCCAGCCCGGCTGCTGGGGACCGAGCTGGGCGACGGGCGGTGTAGCAGGGGAAAGCCCGGCCCGTGCTGGCCCCGGGAGGGGAAGTGAGTGACAGCAGGGAGGATGAGGCAGCAGAGGTCAATCCCTGTCTCTCCTCAGACAGCAGCTCAGTTTGTCTTTATAAGTCCCAGGCGCTGCCTGTTAGGAGCAGATTTGGGCCCCCGCACCTCAGCCGCTGGGGCGGTGTCTGAGGACGCGTGGCCTGAGGCTGGCCCCAGGCTTGTGGATAAGCACTTGCGCCGGCCCTCCAGCCCACGACGGCTGCAGGTGGCCACCCGCAGCCCGGCTCGGCCCTCGGACACTCGCTGCCTAACTCACTGGGGACGGGCTTTGGGCCGCAGGCGTGCCGTGGAAATGCCGCCTTGCTGGCTGCTCAGTGGTAGGGTCATCTGCGCAGTAAAGGAGGTGTCCCCCGTGGAGGTGCCACCCATGGTGTGAATAGTAGTGCCATTGGTCAGGAGAGGCCCCTGTGGCCAGGGCCCGGGATGTGTGAGGGGACTTGGGCTGACCCTGCTCACTCCTCACCCCCCACACAGTCCAGCCTCCGAAGCTCGCCGTGTGCCCACTGGGGCCCCAACAGTGCCCGGAGCAGCCGGCGCTCAAGCTGGAACAGCCTGGGCCGCGCACCCAGCCTCAAGCGGCGGAGCCAGTGCGGGGAGCGTGAGTCTCTGCTGTCCGGGGAGGGCAAGGGTAGCACAGACGAGGAAGCGGAGGATGGCAGGCCCGGGGCAGGGGCCTCTCCGGGGACACGCCCCACCCCACTGCGGCGCTCCGAGTCCCTGGACCACCGCAGCACCCTGGACCTGCGGCCCCCACGGCCGGCCGCACTGCTGCCCACCAAGTTCCACGACTGCAACGGGCAGGTGCTGGCCCTGCCCAGTGAGTTCTTCCTGCGCATCGACAGCCACAAGGAGGATCCAGCTGAGTTTGACGACGACATGGAGGATGTGAGTAGAGGCCCGTCCCCATGCCTCTTTCCTGTTGTGGACTCGTTCCGCAAAGCAGAACCAGAGGCAGGGACTGGGGACATGCCCTGCGTGGGGTCTCATGCACCCCCGGTCAGGGGCGGGGGAGCAGGACAGGCTGAGCGGCACTTGATACAGGCCCCGTGGCCTTAGCTCATCCACGGGGAGCTCTAGAGCAGATTCACCCCAGGGTGGACCCAGCCTCCCGCCCAAGGGAGCTCCCCAGATGCAGAGGAGGGTAGGGCAAGGCTCCCTCAGAAAGGCACTCACCTTGCCCAGGGCAGCTCTGCAGGATGGGGGTCAGCGTGGGGGGGTGGTCTCCGTGGATTCCCCCTGTGGGTCTCTCTCAGTGCCCAGGTGGGGAGGATGAGGCTGGGACAGCTGGGACCCCAGAGGCAGCCAGATGGTGGCTGGCCTGGCCTGGAGGGGCCCTGAGGACCTGCACCCCTCTCCTCTAGAGTTGTTGCCTGCGCCTGCACAAGGTGCTGGAACCCTACAAGCCTGCGTGGTGTCGTAGCCGGGAGCCCTGGGCCCTGTACCTCTTCTCTCCGCAGAACAGGTGAGGGGCACAGCGGGTGGGGCCGGGCCTGCATGGAGCGGACTCTGCCTCCTGGGTCAGTGTCCCCGCCCCCCGCGTCTTACTCGCCCCGCCCCACCGTCCAGGTTCCGGGTCTCCTGCCAGAAGATCATCGCTCACAAGATGTTCGATCATGTGGTCCTGGTCTTCATCTTCCTCAACTGCGTCACCATCGCCCTAGAGAGGCCCGACATCGACCCGGGCAGCACCGTGAGGCGCCCTTGCGGCCCAGGGGCCTGGGGGTGGGGGCGGGGCCGCGGGGGGGCCGGCCCCGCCCACCACTCTGTGCTTGCAGGAGCGCGTCTTCCTCAGCGTTTCCAACTACATTTTCACGGCGATTTTCGTGGCCGAGATGATGGTGAAGGTACCGGCAGACCCGGGAGGAACCCCGTCCCGCCCAGCAGCCCTCGCCGTCTGTGCTCGTTCCCCCCACACACCTGGGCTCCCCCTCCTCTGCGCCTCCCAGGTGGTGGCCCTGGGCCTGGTCTCCGGCGAGCACGCCTACCTGCAGAGCAGCTGGAATGTGCTGGACGGGCTGCTGGTCCTGGTGTCCCTGGTCGACATCGTCGTAGCCATGGCCTCAGCCGGTGGCGCCAAGATCCTGGGCATCCTGCGTGTGCTGCGTCTGCTGCGGACGCTGCGGCCCCTGAGGTAGG